AATACTATGCAGCCATAAAAAAACAATGAGTTCATGTCCTTTGCAGGGATATGGATAAAGCTGGAAACCATCATTCTCAGCAAATTGACACAAGAACAGAAAATCAAACACAGCATGTTCTCACTCATAGGCAGGTGTTGAACAATGAGAACACATGGACACAGGGAGGGGAGCATCACACACCAGGGTCTGTTAGAGGGGACTAGGGGAGGGACAGCAGGAGGTAGGGAGGTTGGGGAGAGATAGCATGGGGAGAAGTGCCCGATATAGGTGATGGGGATGGAGGCAGCAAACCACATTGCCATGTATGTATCTATGCAACAAACCTACGTGATCTGCACAGGTACCCCAAAACTAAAGTACAATTTTATATATATATATATACACACACACACACATACATATGAAGACTTGCAAAAATGCTCAGTACCCCTTTTCTGTTTTCTTTAGAAAATATAGTATTTTAAATAAAATATTTATGTTATGAAAAAAAAAGAAGTACCCCTTGGCACACATTTTTCAAAAATAAGAAAACTAAGGCTGAGAAATAACTTGTTCCATGTCTCATCCGAGTCGCATCTGTATAAAGAGATTATGTGGGGCTGGAATTTAAACTGAATTATTTCATTCTCTGTTCCCAAGTGTTTAGCCACTCTAACCCACTGCCTTGGTATGATAAACTTGGTTTAAACATTCTCCAGTTATGACCCAACACACAGGTTAGTATGTCAATAACAATGTTACATATTAGCAATACTAATGAATATCTTAGTCTTGTGTATGATATTCATATGAACAAATCTAGTAGGTCACCTGCAAATTTCTCCAAATCTTTGTTAAAATTTTTATATCCTTTTCAGTCAATTTTCATCATTTATATTTCTTTGGAAAATCATTTATTGCACTATATTTTCACATATAGTTGTGAATTGGTCCTTTTATAATCATTTTACAATTACTTTCTTATAATCACATTCCCTTTACCCTTCTGAATTTTGTGATTAATAAAAGTTTTCCTCATTTTTCCATTATATTAGCTAGTCTAAAATAGTTTATATGTTGCTTTTATTTTACCTGTGGAAACAATTTTAAGATTGATCAGTTCTATGCTTTTTATAGTCTGCTTTTATTTTTCTAAATGTACTTCCCACTTAAACTTTTTCTTATGTTTTTTGCAGAGCTTACTATTTTATTCCCCAGAGCTTACTACTTATGTGCTACTATTGCCATCTTCAAACAACTCTCCTTACCCACCTACAAATCTTACCACTCTTTCCTTCCCTTACCAGAGGACAGCGCACATTGGTCTTTTTGCTCTCTTAACACACCAAACTAATGCTCTTAGAGTCTTTGCAGAATACATTTTTGTATGCATAAACTCTTTACCAGAGTATATTTTTATAGATATTTCCTTCTCATTATTTAGCTCTCTTTTCAAATAATGCCTCATTGGAAACCCATCTCTGACCACTCCTGCTGAAGCAACCACTCCCTACTCTTGCTGATCCCATTCCAATAGCTTTTCTCTATTTTGTTTTCTTCATAGTGAGGGAATGTATTCTCTTTCCGAGTCCACAAGAGGGCGTAGTTTCAAGGACAAGAACTTCCCAATGCCCCCCCACCCCTCTCTCCATCTGGGAGACTTAATGGTCTTTGTTTAAATCTTCTCGTGGGCACGGGAAAATCATCAAAGTCAATAATTCCAGTGGAAGTTTAAAGGAACTCTTTTCATTGGCCAGGGGACGTGGAGAATGTGGGAATTCCTTTCACGTTAAAAGTCCCTGTCTCTCATCCAGGGGATTTCCCCCTCTGGGGTTCCCCTTCTAGTCTTTTGGAAGCTGCTTTTCTCCTCCTGGATTCCATACTTGGGTCCCCTTCCACACTCTTGTGGAAGCTTTCTCTCTCTCTCATTTTCTCTTTCCTTTTTCCCTTTTTCTGCCTAAATAAATCACTTTTCTGCAAAAACAAACAAACAAACAAAAAAACAAAAAAACTCTTTTGGGGTCTAATATTTTCTTATGAGTGCACCCAACGCGGTCCCTCTCCCATTCTTGGGTGAGAGACCAAAAGCCTGGAAAAACATTCTCTCAGGGGAGCTGAGCACTCTCCTGCACCCCAAAACCCAGCAACAATAGTATAGATAGCACTATTTGATATTTTCTTTTAATTCATTTAATTTGCAAGTTTATTGTCAGTCTCCTTGATCCAAACTTTAAATTACTTTTAAAATAATATTTATCTGCTTGTTTAAAACTGTATTGCTAGCACACAAAACAATGGCTAGTGCTTACAAATAGATTAATTTCTTCCTAATATTTACTGTATTAGCCTATTTTCATACTGTTATGAAATAGCTGAGATAGGGTAATTTATAAAGAAATAGAAGTTTAATGGTCTCACAGTTCCACATAGCTGCAGAGGCCTCACAATCATGGCAGAAGGCAAAAAAGGAGCAAAGGCACAGCTTACATGTTGGCAGGCAAAAAAGCATGTGCAGCGGAGCTGGCCTTTATAAAACCATCAGATCTTGTGAGGCTTATTCACTATAGCAAGAACAACATGGATAAAAAACACCCATGATTCAATTATCTCCCACTATGTTCCTCCCTGGACACGTGCGGATTATGGTAGATAAAATTCAAGAGAGATTTGGCTGGGGACAGAGCCAAACCATATCATTCCACCCCTGGCCCCTCCAAATCTCATGTCCTCACATTTCAAAACACAATCATACCCTTCCAACAGTCCCCCAAGATTTTATCTCATTCTAGAATTAACTGAGGCAAGCTACCAATCTTCATGTAACTATGAGACAGCAAACTTTAAAAAAGTTTACAACACTAATGGAGTAGATACGGTTTAGGGATTTCACTAATGGCTTTATGTTTCCAAAATAGGTGGCGAAAAACTCGCTTGGTATTTTCTCTTCAGGCAATGAGAATAGGTGGCCACCTGATCTCTACAAGTCCAAAGTCTCATCTAAAACAAGGCAAGTTTCTTCCACCTATGAGCCTATAAAATCAAAAGCAAGTTAGTTACTTCCTAGATACAAGGGGAATACAGGCACTGGGTAAATATACCCATTCCAAATGGGAGAAATTGACCAAAACAAAGGGGCCATAGGCTCCATGCAAGTTTAAAATCTAACAGGACAATCAATAAACCGTGAAGTTCGGAAATTATCTCTTTTGACTCCATGTCTCACATCCAGGTCATGTTGATTCAAGAGGTGGGCTCCCACAGCCTTGGGCAGCTGTGCCCCTGTGGCTTTGCAGGGGACAGCCCTGCTCTTGGCTGCTTTCATGGGCTGGCATTGAATGCAAGCTGTTGGTGGATCTACCATTCTGGGGTCTGGAGGACAGTGACTGTCTTCTCAGCTCCACTAGGCAATGCCCCAGTGGGAACTCTGTGCGGGGACTCCAGCCCTACATTTTCTTTTCACACTGCCCGTGTAGAGGCTCTCCATGAGGGTTCTGCCCTTGCAGCAAACTTTTATCTGGACATCAGACATTTCCATATGTCCTCTGAAATCCAGGCAGAGATTCTCAAACCTCAATTCTTGTTTTCTGCACATGCACAGGACCAACACCATGTGAAAGCTGACAAGGCTTGGGGCTTGCACCCTCTGAAGCCACATCCTGAGCTGTACCTTGGCCTCTTTTAGACATGGCTAGAGTGGCTGGGATCCAGGGCACCAAACAAGGGGGTCCTGCACCCAGCCCATTTTCCCCTCCTAGGCCTCCAGGACTGTGATGGGAGGGGCTGCTGGGAATATCTCTGATATGCCCTGGAGACATTTTCCCCTTTGTCTTGGTCATTGGCATCTAGCTCCTTATTACTTATGCAAATTTCTGCTGCAGGTTTAAATTTCTTCCCCCAAAAAATGGGTTTTTCTTATTTACTGCATTGTCATGCTGCAAATTTTTCAAACTTATGCTTTGATTTCTCTTGAACATTTTGTCACTTAGAAATTTCTTCTACTAGATACCCTAAATTATCCCTCTTAAGTTCAAAGTTCCACTTTCTAGAGCAAGGGCAAAATGCTGCCAGCCTTGTTGCATAGCGAGAGTGACCTTTACTTTAGTTCCAAACAAATTCCTTATCTTCATCTGAGATCACCTCAGCTTGGACTTTATTGTCCATATCACTATCAGCATTTTGATCAAAGCCATTCAACAAGCCTCTAAAAATACAGTAGTCAAACAGGCTGAGAAAAGAGGGAAGAATCTTAGAGCCAGTGGCTTTTACTTTCTACTTTTGTTTACTTTTACCTATTCATTTCCTATCTGTGTTGAAATCACTGAGGTTAGGGCCACCTTTACCCTTTCCTCTAGTCCAGTGTCATGATATCACTGTGTTCAGCCTTCTTCCTGGTATTTCTGCTCACTGAACTAAACAAGGGAGGAACTGCTCAAGTGAGAGAATAGGTCTCTGGATTCCTAACATCATAAAAAGCCCCTTGCCCCTCCTATTTGAACCTTACCCACAGCCTACCTCTTTTGGCACCCCTTGGTATGAGGTAGTGAAAGCGCCTCTACACAGCTCTTTCACAGCCCATCCTAACATAACCCTCAAATTAGAGGATTGTGTTATGCTCCTTAAAACTTCCATTACTTTCTAAATGTCTTCACCAAGAAAAGAGAAAAAGAATCATGACTTAATGTTACTTCAATCTAGAATACCTAATATGTCTATCAGAATTTCCCACCAAGTTAGAGTTCTGTGGTGGAATCACCCTTGCTGAGGTGTACTTTTCCCTAGATGTGTTAAATGAATTTAATTCTTTTTCTATTACAGACTTTTGGAGGACTTTACACTACCATCTAGAGCTCAAGTCTCTTACCTTCAATCAAAAATAGATCAGTGTTAAGTTTTAAAAATATTATCAGCTGTGAGTCGCTAATACTCACTGAATGTAGACATTTTTACCGTTGAGAGAAGTGACAACCATGCCTCCTGATGATACACGTACATATTTATTGCCCAGTGTTTTACCTTACCTGAGCTATATTGATTGCATTTTGAATTCGTACATCTTCCTCATAATCCTTTGTTTTCTGCAATGTTTGCCATATCATGTTTCTAAGTCCATTCTGTTCTTCATCTCCTTGAAGTTCCCATGACATTTTCACCAGGTTATACACTAAGCCATAGTAACCAGTCCAGACTACTTGATCACCTGTGTAAAAAGAAACAGTCTTTGGAAATATGTCATTGTATTCACCTTGCTAAAGTATGATTGTGTGAAAAAGAAGAAACATATTTTACCGTAATTCATAATAGTATTCTAAAGTCTGAAATTCTAAGCTGTGGAAATTTCTGACCCTTCACTGCTTCCCACCCCCTTACATTTAAAAAAGATAACAGATCATTTAAAAATTTCTAACCACATGAAAAGAAAAACCGTACCTAACAGGTATACTTCATAAATTTAAGAGTTAAACGGGTAAACTGTGAACTACATACAAAAAACAAATTCTTAGAATTCAAGTAAAGAGGAATCTGTTCAAGGAAATATGAACACAGACCACCATGGTGAATTTTTATAATGAAGTAGAGAAACAAGAAAAACACTTCCTGTTATTAAAAAAAATAAACATTATGAAATATGTTATTTGAACCAAGAAGAAAATGTTTAAATCATGCATAAAGCATACAAAAATTACTGTTATAATTATAGGCTGAAAAATTCATTTTAATAATAGGGACATACATCAACTGGGATATATGAAAAAGAATAATGAAAACAGAGATTTAACAACTCTAGGACACTTCTCTTCTAGAACTTATATAGGAATTAGCAATTCATATACATTATCAAGTTCCACTTTCAAAATACATATTTTCCTTACAAAAAAGAGAAAGACATTTCTATTTATTCTTTACGGTAATTATTATTTCTTATCTTGCTATTGTATATTGCTATGCAGCAACAGGAAAAAAGAATTCCAATTTAGGTAGAGGTGGGAGAAATAAATTTAGGGAATAAAATAATACATTTATCAAAGAGAAGATGAACTTAGTCAAAGAGCAACATGAAAACACTGAGTATATGTGAAATAGATAAGAACAAGAGGAAATGGTTCAAAAAGGGAACTGAAAGAGTTTTAAATCCCTTTAAATTCCACATTGCACTTTTCTCCAAAATCCTGGTGACAGTCCATTGATGATTGTTGCCCTTCTTGAATAAAGATAGGACAACCTGAAAAGTCATAATCCGCAACTTTTCCAAATGAATCTAGTTTTCATAATGCAGGCTAATCATAATCATTATTATTATAACTAGTTACATATGGGGTACCAACTATGTGGTCCAATTTTAGTTTTCACTACAATCCAGCTATGTAGATGTTATTATACATACTTAGGATAATAAAAGTGAACATATGAATATGAACATATGAACTTGAACTTGCTTAGAGAGCTCCCTGGCATCAGACAGTTGTTGAATGAATGATAGAGCAGGTAAAGGCTGGTCAAATCCTGTCACAGGCAGCACATTCTCTCTAATTTACAGAAGTACTTTTCTTTCCAGTCACGACATTCCATTCCATTCATAGGAAAGAGAGAGTTTGAAAGAAAGAGGAGACCGAAGAGAAAGTATGCACATGTTTTACAAGTAGGAGGAGGAAGGCATATGTTCAGTTTCCAATCTTAAGATATCATCTACCTTTTCTATTATTGGAACTTTAGGAGAGAAAGTATAAGCTGGAAGTAGGAAGCTACAGTTAAGCAGCCAATTATTTTTGAAGTGTCATTTTCTCTTCATAGGAACTTTACTAATTAAAATTGAGGTACCACAATATTTGAAATAATATATAATATAAAACAAGCTTTGTGAATGAATGGCATTAATATTTTTGCACTGAACGTTTGAAATATAATCAAAAAGCCCAAGTTTAAGGTTTTGGGTTTTTTTTTTAAACCATTTTTTGTGTGAATAGTCTTGACTAAGGTGAGTAAAAGATAATCTGTGTCTTCAAGTAATTGGCAACTCTGGGAGACTAGAATACTTTGTAAGAGAAATTAGAGAGTAATTGTTAAATGAAAAGATGATGGTCATTGATAGAACAATCACAAAAGCAAGAGATCAATGAGGGCTAGAAAATGACTGAAGAAAGTCTGACTTTATAAGACTTGTCCAACAGGCAAATTTGGGAAAGTGCAGTGAAGATATTGGGGGAATATTTCAAATGGAAGGATATCTGAAAAAAGGCTAGCTCTGAGAATAAATACTGTAATAGCTTCCTAGGTCTTTCACCTTCCTGTCTTATTAGTTACTGCTTCACCATTACTAATCCATGTTGTGCAAACTGACCTTTCTAAATCTCATTATGTTACTTCTCTACTCACAACTTAGCAAAGGATTGCTATTTGTCCCTAGGTAAATTCCAAATCTCATGGCCAGGCAATCACTGTCTGTCTTTCTAACATGACATCTTTTTGGAACACATCTTTCACCACTCCTTTATTTCCATCCCTCTTCTAATATACTGCAAACAGACAAAACTACTTGAAGTTCTAGAATAAACATTTCATTTAATCTTCTAGCCCTTGTATAAACTTTTCATATAACCAGAAATTATCCCTTCCAAAAACAACTCCACACTACACCTGGCTTCTATCCATTCTCCTGCATTCTTTCTACTAGGAATCTTTTTCTAAATCCCATGGCTAGCTAGGTGCCCTTGAACCTACTATATTGCAATGTATTGTATCATATTGTAATTGCATACCTCACCTATGGATTCTAAACTACTGGAGAACAGAGAATATCTTTTATTCAGTCAGATATTCCTAGCATTTAGCAAAGTGCCTACAACATAGTAGATCTAATTTATAAAAATCTGTTTATTAAATTAGAGAAGTACGTAGAGAGAACAACTATGTCCATTTTCCTAGAACTGAAGAGTTTCTTGGAACACAAACTTTCAAGGACAAAACTGTGGAAGTCCAGAGCAAACTGATATTTAGGATCAGGACTAGAGCCCCAAGCAGTGAGGTAGTTATACAAAGACAGAGGGGAAGAGATGATAGTAAGGATCTCAAATGAAGCTGAGGTGGAGAGTTTATACTAAAAATAAATAAGAGGCCAGGCATGGTGGCTCACATTTGTAATCCCAGCAATTTGAGAGGCGGAGGCAGGAGGATTGTTTGAGGCCCAGAAATCAAGACTGGCCTAGGCAAAATACCAAGACCCTATCTCTATAATTATTTTTTTAATTAGCTGGGTATAGTGGTGCACATCTGTAGTCCCAGGTACACAGGAGGCTGTGTTGGGAAGATCACTTCAGCCACAGAGTTTGAAGCTGCAGTGAGCTATGATTAAAAGAAAAAAGATAGATAAGGTACCAAGGCTAGCTAAAGATAAATGGGATCAGGTTAAATGATAGATGTTTGAGGAAGGGAGTAATGTTATGTCTGCTCAATGCAATGTGATGTTTATTCAAGTAATAAACTGGGAAAGCAACATAGGAGTTTTATGAGGTAATCTGGGTCTTTATTGCAATGGGCAACAAAAGATTGGTAAAGAAGGGACACAAACCTAAGACACTGTGGAGAAGATCTAATTGGACTTCTTTGCTATGGAAAAGAGGCAAAAATAAAGGGGAAAGCAGAAGTCTATTTTTAAGCTCAGGAGACTGAAACAATAATAAAACCACTTGAAGAAATAAGAAGAGTGTGTAGAAGAGTCCATTTTAAGAAAAAGAAAATAAATATTATTTGGAAAATGTGGCATGGGAGGGAGTAATTTAATTTTCAATGTCTTGTAGTTTGTTGTAAAAATATGGCTAGAATGCAAGTAAAATAGCAAGAGTGAGATTGTTGATTTTGTGGGTCACTAGCTTGAAGTCAATATAGGTAAGGAAACATTATTTTTTAAGTTAATAATTCTTCATTATGATCCTCAGAGAAAAAAATAAGTTTTTGAAAAATATTACAAATAAAACATACAGTTAATTTTAACTAATATCTAAATTTACTTACAGACTCTAAACAATGACACAAATGATTGACAAAAATATATACAAACCACCTTCCTCTATATATTTTAAATTATTACTTAGTGAAGGTCAATATTTTATAAAACTACAATAGTTGAATTATCAAAATGAGTATAGTTTGTTTTTAGAATCCACAAGATCAATGATAAACCATAAAATATATTCTGACAATTATGTTATAGAAAGTCACGATTCCTTTTAAATTCCATTTATATTTTTAAAAGTGAGCTGTTCACCTGTTGATCTAAACTCCACTCAAGTACTGCTGATGAATAATATTTGCAGGGAGAATTTATTACATCCAATTGACTGGTAGCTAATGAAGGAAAAAAAACCTTATAAAGACAGATGGTATGTGTTAAAACTGTTATAAAAAGTAGACCACATTCTAATTTGCACATCTAGACATTTGCTGAGAAGCATGCCTGCTATGAAATGTTTCAACAAGGGACCAAGCTGTAGCATAAGGCACTCTTCTGTTCTGCTTTGAGTGACCCTGTGGCAGCTATCAAAGATGTCACTTTAAATATACTAAGAGAAAATGTGTCTGTGTCTGCAGCTAAGCAGACAGTATCCTAGGATATATAAAAGCCAAACCAAAACAAGTTCTTAATAAATTCAAAAATTTTATTAAGAAACCACCACTATACTTGAAAAAAGTAAATACTATGCACCTTTCTTTGTAGCAATAATTCCTTATTCCAGTATTTGAACTCTTTAGTAGCCTTTAATTGCCACTGAAGATACTGAGATTTCATATATTTAGTGAAAGTAAAATATGAAGATTTCTACTTATATGAATGAGTGTGAGTATAGCCTTCACAATTTTGTCAAATGTAACATGACACTACAAAATCAAATGTGCCACTCAAAGGTAATTCAAATGTAGAATGTGGTTCAGAACACTGATGTTATGCAATGCCATGTAGAGTTGAAGGAACCAGATCAACACCAAGAAACTAATGATTGGACAAGAACCAGTCAGGCAGCCATGCTTTTAACTAATGTTTTCTGAATGAATGCTAGATGCCAGCCACTGTTCTCCATACTAAAGGAAAACACAAACTGCTTCCTCGGGTATGCTTAATTCTAATGGACAGAGACAGATATAAAGAAAGTAAACAAAACAGTGTCATTTGATGATGAATGTTATGAGAATAATAGAAGATGGTAA